AGGGGAAATGCATTTCTTTTACAGGCCTTCTTTCATAGGCCTTTAAAGCCTATACTTTGGAGTCCATGGGGTTCTCTGAGCTCAGAGAACCCCAAGGAGTCCACAGTTCAACCCTGAGCTACATACTGTATATTCTCTTCTCTTGGTAAGCCTATACTTGCTAAAACAGACATTGAACAATAACAACATTGATAACAGACCCAGAAAACAAACCCCACAATAGGCACGGGCTCTAGGTCAGTTCAAATGATTTGCAAAGACTGATTTTGGCAAGAAATAACAGCTTTAGAAGTCCTTCAGAGGTTCAGCCCCTTAACAAGATCAAAGGTTCCCACCACACCAAATGTGTTAACGAGCTGACAAAAGCAAGAATGCCTATATCACATCCAACAACTGGTTATTGCTCACTACCATCAACATAGGTGGGTATTCCAGTCTGAAGACAGTATTCAATGCATCTGAATGAGTGGACTGTATTTTATAGAAGTTAAAAGCATTTCTGAATCTGGTACTCTTCAGATTCACTCTGCAGTGGGAGCTGGAACTTCCAGAATTCCTAGTCAATATGGCACTGGTTAGGAATTAGGGATGTTACTCTTCCAATACATCTAGAAGTTATCAGGTTGCTGAAAACTTCAATAATAGATGTGTTAGTTTTTAAAATGCTACCCAACTTTATTAATTTTGCTTTAACAGATTAAAACAACCTCATTTTTGGAGAGTATGGCCACAGTATGTTAACTGCTGGGAATCAATACTACAAGGAAGCAACTGCTGTTGAGACTCATAAAAGACATTCAAAAGCTATCCAGCCTGTCACTAGACTACATAGATCTTTGATCTGATCATGTAGCAATATGATGTATTGTAGGGGGCATAAGAGAGCCAGTTCAGTGTAGTGGTTAAGGCATCAGGCTAGAAACCAGGAGACTATGAGTTCTAGTCCCGCCTAGGCAGAAAGCCAGCTGTGTGACCTTGGGCCAGTCACTTTTCCCACAGCCCTAAGAAGGAGGCAGTGGCAAACCCACTTCTAAAAAACCTTGCCAAGAAAACTGCAGGGACTTATGTAGGCAGTCTCTGAGAATCGGACACAATTGAACGGATTAAAAAAAAAAGAGGGCATGGCTTTGAAGGAGCTGCTCTACCAAGGCAACTGTCAGATTAGAGGGGCTTGAGCCCAAGCCAAGAAACTAGTTTGAGTAAATTTCTCAAACACAAAATTCAAAACAAGCTTGACAAGTTATAGAAATTATCTGAAAGATGGTATTCTGCTGGCTGGGGAATACTGGGAGTTGAAGTCCACACATCTCAAAGTTGCTGAGGTTGAGAAACACTGTTCTAGAGTACAAGGCACAGAATGATGAAACTGACAGGAAAACAGATTCCAACTGAATACTAGAAAAACCTTCCTAACAATAGGAGCAGTTCAATGATAAAATCAATTACAAATACACAAATTAATTACGCTGCTCCCCTTGGTTGGATATGTTCAAGCAGACAGTGAACAGCTATGGGTGGGGGGGGTGTTTAATTTGGATTCCTGGACTAAGCAGGGATTGGCTTTGATGGCCTAAATGGCCCTTCCCAACTCTGCGCTTCTAATCAACCTTATCAAGAAGGAATTGTTTTGTGTAGATGTCATATGACATCCCTCCTGAACCTTCCAATGTGGGCATCTAATGTCCAGCAGTTCTTTGTCTGACTTTATACCTACTCCCCATATTGTTTTGTCCTACCTGAACTGGAATAGTTGGAGGCTACGCAATTCTTTTCAGGTTCTGCCAGCTGAAGATTTTTTTTCCAATTCTAAACTCAGGTCATTAAATCTATGCTTCTTCTATGTCTCAAAAGTCAGGTCTTTTCTCCTGAAATAGCCAATCTTGCTTCGCTGAAATTAGAGTTTTTATGACTGACCCATGATAAGATAAGCACTAATTTTTAATATTAAAATGTAGGAATAGCAGATGTTTGAAAATAGATTGAAGTATCATGCTATAAATCACTTGCACTCTTTCTTTCCTACTTCATGGAAGAAATTATGAACATTTTGGTACATACAATGTAATATCTAAGGCAGTGCAGCACTTTGGATTTAAAGGATAAAAGGAGTTTCAGAGCTTGCCAGGTGCTTATGTAGCACCTCTCAACATGCAGCTGCCCTCCAAAGCTACAATGAACCCCTTGAAAATAGGTATTTGGTTTAAGGAACTGCTGACGTGTCCTATACCTGTGTCTCTAGAATCCCCCAGCCAGTAGTTGAAGTTGACACATCTTAAAAGTTGCTGAGGTTAAGAAACACTGGTCTAAAGCATCTTTTTCCCTTTCAGTTCAAAGCACTGTCCACCCTAATAGTTTCTGCTATTTTGCTTGCAACAGTTCACACAGAGATGTTGCTAAGAAATCAAAGAATGGAGAGGAATCCAATTGATATTCTGTCCCAACATTAGAAAACTTGTGACCCTCCAGATGTTGTTGAACTACAACTCATCCCTCAACATTAGCCATATTCACTAAGTGAATACAGATAAAATTAAGTAAAACCACAATTAAAAATAATAATTATAAAGACAAAATGAAAATAATAATATCCTGGTGAACAATTACTGATCCTTTTGTAATAAAGATTTTGGATATTTGGATTCTCAAAATATTTCACTTAATGTTTCTTCCTTCTGCTTTAACAAATATCCACCTAAGAAAATGTTGTAACTCTCATGGTGTACAAATAGTAAAGCCGTTATTTACTATTTCAACACTAAACTGTCGAAGTGTGGTCTGTGGTTGTGCCTATTACCTGAAACTTAACAGAAATTTGACATTATTTTGAGTATTAATGATAATGTAAAAACCATTCATATATAAATGGCCCTTTCTTCAAGCAGCTTAAGTGTTACTTAATTCTTATACTAACTTATCTTGAAAACAGCTCTCAACTAACTTCTAAGTCATTGAAATGAAATGGTGCGGGTATGAATATTTTCAAGAAATACTTTAAAAGAGTGATTGGTTCCAGATTAGCCAATGAGCCTCATTGTTGAAGGCTGATTTAATTTCAGTTCTCTCTAATATCTTGGACTACATGGCTTATTTATACAGCATCCCCAACTGTATGCCATGATTACAGAACTCCAGAGATTAAAAAAAGTACCCAAGGAGACTATAATCTAAAAGACAAAATGGGAAAGACAAAGAAAGAGAAGAATGAATGCAAATGAAGTTACAAAAACTTAAATCTGTTAATTACCTGTTTCCAATACTCCCACACAACAGGGCACAGAATAATATTCTTAAATTACAGGAAGATATATCCCACTTTAACTTCTTATTAATAAAAGCAGTTTAATAGCTAGACCAATTATCAAGGGAAGAATGTTCAAATTGGGATTCCTGCACTATGCAAGTAGATGCTTTGAACATCTCCAGTAACATATGTTAAAATATCATATATTTTAATATATTTTTAAAATATGCCTAGCATGCTAAAGGGAAAGACTAGCATGAAAGCATGAATCCCCATGCAAAGGAAAGATGAAAAACCTTGTGCATGTGAGAAAAAAAACAAGATTAAGCTCTTTCTCAGGTATATTTTTCAATAATAATTTTCAACTTGCTATCAAAATATTGCTAAACTTATTTCAGGCAAGTGAGCTAACCTACCAAAATGTGGACTTACTTTAAATTGGGCATCATTATCTATTGTAAACCAAGCTACAGAAGCTAATTTGCTTCTAAGCAATATACAGTATTTCTGGTGCCAGTGCAAATATGTCTAACTGCTTGTATTTAGCTGCTTAATACAAATCACTATACATATTGTATTCTAACTGTTCTGTATTTCATATGCATCTTTTAATAACTAAACAAAGCAGATAAATCATTTGCTAATATGATTATTACAATGTAAAAGCTACAATCACTCAAGTCTCCGTTTCAATCTTCAGAGAAGGCAGCACTTACCAAATGTGATGTTATAACATGCATCTTAGCTTATAATGAAAAACAGTTCACTCAATATTCTCATTAATATAAAATACTGCATTTTTATATATTCTTACACATTACAAGATCATAATTGGAGCAATACCACTTTATGGTAGTGGTTCATTTTCTTAGAATATCATAGGTTCTTTCTAAATATAAATGGCCATGCCTAAAATAGATGATAAATGATAAACGTGTCATCTGTATGGGGATCATACTAGAAGCTTGTATGATAAACGTTTCATCATTTAAAAGTGGTAATGCGAGAAGCTTACATTATTACTCATCAAATTGCTTAAATACTGTTTCCCACAACCCCATTAACTACAGTATACGTATCCAATACATTAACAACAGTTTTCCCAAAATGTGCAAGGCTAGGTTGGTGAAGGATCATCATCATCATCATCATCATCATCATATAAAAACAATTACTTCTACATTTTAGCCCCCTCCACCTATTTCAATTAGTAATGCCATAAGCACCTGCCTGCTGTTCAAGTGCTTTTGCACCCATTCAAGGAAGTATTACACAAATCTTTTGCTATTTCATCTTGTATCTTGGCTGGTATGATTTGGCTGACTTTAAATTATTGCACGGCCACTGCTTGGAAAAGGAGAGTGCTTCCATCCCACGGGAACTGAGGCATCCCAAGAAACTTTACTTCCTGCCATTCTTTCTGTCATCCAATGGGGAACTCTGAATCCATAAGCCGAAGAGAGTTCTCCGAGATGCTAATCTCTTGGACCGGGTCTGCCTCACCCACAGACCCACCGCAGCCCTGCTGTGCCAATCAAGTTTTCCAAGTTCCCGCGGAGAAACACACGCTCCAGGGGCAGCCAAGCCCTGCTCGCCCCTCTCCCCCCTCTGACAGCTCATGCAATTTGGAAACAAAACCCCGAGGCGCTGCCGGGCAGGGAAGAAACTTGGGGTAACCCCTGCTGATCGCCCACTGCTCGGCGGTCCCCAGCGCTCAGCTCCCCTGCCCTCACTGCTCCAGCATTAGGGAAGACCCTACCTGCTTTCTCTGGCAACGATCCATAGCTCTAGAGGTGGGGACCAGGTGATCCTGAGCAGCTTTGCCTTCTCTCGACGGGAGCCCGCAAAACCTCGACCCGCAGCAGCAAGATATCCCGGCGCTGCGGTTTGCTTCGTGTACTCCCCTCTTTCTTTCTCCCTTCCTTTCTTCCCCTCCCTCCTCTCTTTGCTGATACTGATACACCCCCTGAAGCTGCTCTCTAGACAAACCTAGTCCCCGTTCCCATAGTGACAGGTACCGCCTTTTGCAGCACACGGATTGGCGGAGGCGCTCCCCTTTCTGGGACTCGCGTAGGGCTATGATTGGGCCACCGCAAGACAGCCAAGTTTCGTTGCGCGACCAGAAATAAAGAAGCGAAGGTGCGTTGCACTGGGGAAGGTACGTGGCGCTAACAAGAGTGGGCGGCGCTTGTTTTTTGTTTTACCTCGTTGACGCGCTGCATTGAGAAGGGGAAACCGGAGGAGGAGCTATGGAATGCAGAGGAGCCAATGGGAGAAGCCTGACAGGTTTTCCTGAATCTGACAGTGGAAGCCGCCGAGTGCTTTTTTCCCCTTTGCTTGTTTCTTGGGGGTGGGGGGATGGGGCATCCTGCTGTCGAATGCACTGTCCGACATCTGGAATTTACCATAGAAACAACATCACCAATTGGATGTCGCTGCAGACTTTCTTAGCACTGCAGTGAAGCTATCAGGGCTACCATGTTTGGGCTGCAGACATCCGGATGACCACTGAACGGGAAGAGAAAGCGATGTAGCAATCTGAGATTTTTGCAGCTCAGATACGGTAGCCCTGCAGCAAACCAGCCCCGTGGAACTCTGCAGAATCCTTTCACTTACTACGCATCAGCGAAACGATGGAAGTTTCAGGGCTAACACGTTGAATGTGACATATTGAAAATCTGCTTTTCTCATTATCTTGTAACGAGTGGGATTTCAACTCCCAATAACGTTGGTGGGGAGCTGGAAGCACCAAGTGAGGAAAATCGAAATAAGTGTGCATGGATTCAAATACACTATATTTGATAAAAGTGTGGCAAGGCCCTGTTGTTTTTGTTACAACTCAGATGAAAGTGTACAAATGAGGGGAGGGAGGGAGAGGGGGAGAGAGAGAGAGAGAGAGAGAGAGACTTTCTACCTATTCAGAAATAGTAAGTCTCTCCCTTACACATGAAAGCCAGCTGGATGACTTTGGGTCAGCCAGCCTCTCTCAACCCAACCCACTTCACAGGGTTGTTGTTGTGGGGAAAACAGGAGGCAGAAGTATTAGACATATTCGCCGCCTTGAGTTATATATATAAAAAAGGTGGGATAAAAATTTATAAATATAATCATCATCATCATCATCATCACTGTATTAACTCAGGCTTATTTTAAAAATGTGTATAAGCTTGAATCCTGAGAATGGCCTAGCCAATTAATAGTTGTCTTTGTTTTGTACTATTTCTACTAGAACAAAGGAAAAAGATTTGCTCAGACCCTGAAATTGCACTATAGATTGGCATGACAAAATTGATGACTTTATTTTCTCATACTTCACTGTAAGATTTGGATTGGCATGATTTTGCTTTGTTTTATTTAGTCTTTAAATAGATGCAAATCAATCGATCAATCCTTTCCTAATGATCCCAAACTCTGAATTTGTCTTTTTTAATTGTTGCAAACAGTTAACATTCTGGTGAAGTCATCCACTACAATCCATGTTTGGCCACAATCACCTCAAATCATAGCAGAAAAACTTATATTTGATGTTAGAATGACTTTGCCTTTGTCTATCATTTTAAATTTGTTTACCCGGATCTGCATTTGCCACTGTAATGTTTGTTCCCCAGATTGGACAAGTATTTAATTCATTCACTGCTATTATAATTTAAAGTGGAAAGCTATATCCAGTCAAAAACAGTAGCAGAATGGCAATCTACTACAATGTGGCCTTGTCTTTTGCTCCTGTTGTATTTAAATAGTTTGGTTAGCATGTTTACCCACTTGAATAGGATCAAAAGGTAAGTGCTGAACCTTAAGTAAAGCAATTCTAAAGGGAAGCAAACAGGATGAGAGGGAATGTACTCTATTTATCTATTTACAATGTTTATATACTTCCTTATTCTGTGAGCCTTCTGGCAGAATTTAGTTAGATCTAAATTTCTCTGTAGGTAAGAAGTATTTTAGAGGGTTGGAGAGTTCAGGGTCAATCAAATTCTTAGCCTCACTCATCCTACACAATTGCCACCCTTTCAGCTGTTTTTGTCTCTCAACTTGGGAGGGAGATACTGAAAATCCTGTAGCCTTTGGGACAGAAGTGGGGACAGAATTATACCGTAAGATGTAATTTACAGTAATAAGAAATAACATGTAACCTTTTGTGTATCTGAAAAAATAAAAGTATATATAAATTGTCAACTCCCTGGCTTTTAATAGACAATTATAAAACTAATGTTAATTGATATGACTATTTACTTCCCCACAGTGTCTTTCATAAATGCTTTGAGGTAGAATGTTGGTAGATTCTTTTAGATGTAATTAAATTGATTTTAAAAATTACTATTTTTATATCATTTTTTTTTCATCCTAGCGTTTTTCTCGCATGTACGGGGTCCGGTTTTTCTTTTTTTGGATCAACCAAACGTCAATCCATTGGTTGCGACGGGAATTGACGGACCGGCTTGTCGCCCAAGCCTGACGTCGCGGGCTGAGAGAGTGACTGGCTCAAAGTCCCCCAGCCGGCTTTCATACCTAAGGTGGGACTAGAGCTCACCGTCTCCTGCTTTCTAGCCTGGAGCCTTAACCACTGCATCAAACTGGCTCTCTCTGATGATGAGGGGAAAAAAAAATATGAAAAAAATTACTATGCTGCTGGGAAAATTATTTTTCATGACTTCTTTTTAGTCACTTTAGCTTGCACTTTAGTCACTCTAGAGTAAGGAACTACTTTATCTTTTGAGGGAAAGTTATGCAAGAACCTTACAAGGATGGGCCTAAATTCTCCTTTGCAAATGTTCCCTTAAAAAGTCAAGAAACTCCACATGAACTTCTTAAAGGCTAGTAGGCATCTTGTACAATTCAGTGGGATTATACCAGAGAAAACTGATGTAAAGACAAAGAAATTTACTTAAATTTTATAGGTAAACAATGTGATGTAGAATAATTTAGAATATTCTACATCATGTACAATAATTTTTGACAATTATAAAACAGTTGATTATTACAGAAAATTGGCAAATTCTGTTATTATTTTTATTGATTGATTGATTTGATTTGTATAGCCACCCATCGCAAACCAGTGACTCTGGGAGGTGAATAATCACAAAAATATAGTTTTTATGGATGAATACTAACAATATTTTTATATTATGTTTTACTACAAACATTATTTTGGATAAAGTTTATACAGAGCTTGCAACTGCTATAATACAACTATGAATAATATTAGTCTGCTCAATTCATAATACATTCACTGATTTTTTTTAAAGATGCTTATGATGGACAGTATATTATATTTAAAATATATTAAGATAAATTAGAGTGTTTTGCAACAAATAAAATATATTATTTGCAATCCCTTGAGGTTTAAAAAGTGTACTCTTTCATTTTTGAGATGGTAAGATTTGGGATATTTTCATCATTTATTTCAGCAAATTTTGAAAAAAGCAATATTTCTTTTTCTGAGTTTTTAGAAAAACTATAATCACACTAAAACACTGGCAAGAATGAATTGCATCTAAAGTTTTGATTTATAAATATAAATAATGTATATATTATTTCAGTGATAAAATTATTATTTAACTATAAATATATTTGGAAATATAATAATTTTAGATTTCAGGTTTTTTTCTTTTTCAATATGCATTATAAAATAGCATTTAAGTTTATTGCGCCTAACTAATTTGATTTACCTTAGGTACTGGCATCCAATTTTATTTTTATTCTGTTTTTTAATGTTAAGAAGTTTACACTTTCATAAAAATCACCTGGAATGGACATTTTAAATAATTTAAGCAAATTATTATTATTATTTTAAAACATCGCAAGATCTCTTCCAAAATACTTTTTTTTTTTTTACTCTATAGTACTGGGCTGCTAACTTTGTATGGGAACTTTGCCAAGTAATGAAGATAATGAAGAACTGTGGTTCTTTTTCTTACAATGTTAATCTCTTCTCACAAATAAAAGGGGAACATATAGATGATGTTAGTTCTACTATTGTTGGTAATTATTCTCATTGATGCTCATATGAAAGAGCAACTCCTCTATTTGCAGAGGTTCTCCATATAACTTACATCTCATTTTTAAGGTGTCTGAAATAAAGCCTATTGTAAATGGACACCCACCCAAAAGATGATGAAGCTAACATGCTCTTCCGTGTCCTTCCCCATATGTGTAGAGATTAAATAATTTAGCAATTGCCAGTTGTTTACAATCATATGTAAAACTCAGAAGCAAGCATAGTCATTGAACACAGTCACTGAGAATTTAAACTTATGATAGTCATATACTTTTTAACATGCACATCAGAATGCAGTCTTTGGAACAGATTAATACACAGTTTCAGGAAGATGTTATCTGTTTCTGTTCTTTAATTATTGCAAAAGTTTGTGACTAATTTGTTTTGTTGACTGGATTATAGCTTCATGACATCTATCCCAGAATATTGGCATTTTAAAAGATCTTAAATCTTTAAACAGAAAGCCTTTCTCATGAAGTATCTTTTCTAAGTTGATCAGTTATCAGCCAATGATGATTAATTGCTTTACATTTAATTTATCAATTTACCATAAATATGCTACAAAATGACAGGGTCCTTATGCTGAAATAGGTAAACAAAACTCCACTACATATGGTACTGCACTAAAGAGAGAGAATCTGTGTGTGTGTGTGTGTGTGTAGGTATAGGTATACACTACTGTAAAAAAAACATTAAAGAAACAGTTCTTAAAACAGTTTAGATAGAAAAAAGAAAAAGAAAAAAAACATGATTAAAGGTTAACACTCTTGTTCCATTGATGTCTTACATACCAAGAAGGGGCATTCATGAGGTAACATTACAATAAGATTAGTTATTGGATAACGTGGGAGAAGATGATGGAGAGATGGTTATTGTTGATGATGGGCCTGATGTTGGAGAGGATGGACCTGATACTGGAGAATCAGGGTTTGATTCTGCTGCTGGAAATGGGGGGTTTATGACTGGAGTCAATTTCTTAAAGTAGGCATCAAGGGAGATTTGTACA